AGACTTGAAACTAAAGACTGAGACCATAAACTCATTAGGAAACTGTTTACTGAGCTAATAAATCAAGTTAGAAGTCTGCTCATTTTTCTTTCTTTCATTTAAGACTAAATAGTATAGTTTTGTATTGCAGCAAATGGAGCTGCCCCCTGCTGGCCGTTATATAGAATGCAGGTTTAAGACACTTCTAACCTCACAGATTCAGAAGCTCTGTCCATTATATATACTGTCAGTGGTAAATAGTCAAACCAGAAAGCGATGCTCAACTGACATGGAACTAAATTTACTTACATAGTAAAAGCCATCTTCGTCTATTTCACCAAAAACTGTGATGACATCACCGGCACAGAAAGTCAGTTCAGCCTGTCAAAGAAGAAAGAGCCTTGAGAAACATTTGGCCTCTTATACTTTTAAGTTTAAGACTTTCCAATACATCAAATCTACTGGGGTTTGATGAGTTTGAAATGCTGTGCTTCCTTCTCCAAATCAATGTGATGCATCTTTAACACGAGTGTCAATTCAGTCTCTGCAGACGGGACTGTTGCAACTGCAAATGCATCAATGTTGGAACTTTGAAGACAGGATTGCAACACACTGGGCACATCTCTCCTACGGGATATTTGAGAACACACAAACCAAACATATAGCGTATGTATACAGTATGTAGGAGACAGGTCGACACAAAAGACCAAACCGAGGAGGGGAGATGCTGGCTCAGGCAATGCATGAGGGGCTGTATTCATGACCACCGGGGGACAAAGGGCCGTGGCCCCGTCATCTGAAGCCCACCTCCTCGTTTGCACTCCAACAAACGGGGGAGGAAACACACACAGAGCAGACAGTACCGTACCCTCCTCACCCTCACTCACCTCCTCATTCAGTCTGTTGCCCTCATACTGTGTCGGTGGCAGTGCCAATAGAAAGGTGAGAGTAAGTGAACGGGGGGTGGGGGGGGCAAAAGAAACAGCACGGGAAAGTAATTCAATCTTCTAGCTTACACAGTGCTAACTATAACCTCTCAATCAACCTCAACCCTGTGCACACATTGCCCCGAATTGCACTTAAAGGAATAGTTCGACATCATCTTGCCAAGAGTTAAAAAGAAGATCGATCTGTCTGTTAACTATGAAGCTACAGCTAGTTTAGCTTAGCAGTATAACAATCACAGTGAAATTGCCACAAAGCTCTCTGTAAAACCCTACATTGTTGTTTATCTACGTAAGGTTTAAACAAATGACATGTATTGGCTTAAAGCTAGCCAACCACTGATTGTTGACACTTCGCTAAAGAGGCACAAACTACAATTTATCGTTTTTACACTGTGGTTTTTGTACAAATTAAACAAAAGATAATAACATTTTATTGGTGGACTTTAAACTGTTTCCCCCTGCTTCCAGTCTTTTTGCTAAGCTAAGCTAGCAGTCCTCTGGCTGCAGCTTCATATTCAAGATACGGTGACCAGTCGTCCCGTCGTTTGTTCGGGATTGTCCCGATTTAAAGTCCTGACAAATATCTGTAAAACACTAAAATGTCCCGGTTTTCACCACAATTAAAATAATTTTAAACTTGTTTTCAGCCCTTACATGGACATTTATCATGTTCTGTTCCACTCACTGTTACCTAACCCAGTATAGAAACAATGTATGTCTGAATTCAACACTGATTGTTCTTAATGTGTGTCAAGCAGTCAGTGTCGTTGTCAAGGCGGTTGCTATTGGCAAGTGTCAAAGGCAGTGACGGTTCTTCGGCTCTTTCTGACAGAACCTGTCAGTATGCTAACGGTTAGCTGTCATGCCAAAGAGAAAGTCGATCTAAAAAGAGCTCCAGGAGGCTTACTCTAGTACCCTGTAATAAGAATGCTGCGTTCATGGCATGCTGTGTTCATGGAATCCATGGCATTGAAGTATGTGCTCAGCCCTGAAATAATTGTCCCCCATCCTGATGAAAAAACGTGCGATACAGTGCCAGGGACTGTCAACGGACAGACACAAAAGTGCATCAATCTACTCATTTAACTCTGCAACAGAGAGAATAAAGTTTTTTTCCCAAAATGTCAAACTATTCCTTTAAATTCTGAATTGACTAAAGTACAAACAGAACATCTTCATCTCAAATATTCAGTGCTTTTATGCTTCAACATGATGGTGGTGACAGAAGATGGTCAAGACAAAGTGAACAGCTGGAGCCACAGGAGGGCAGTACCTCTACATCAACGTTCGGCGAGCTCTCTCGAGGGTCGTAGTCGTACAGCGCCACCATTCTCCGAGTTGACATCGGATGTTGACGGCCGCTCCGCCTGTTCCTCTCTACGGAGACAGTAATAAAAGGTGGATAAAAGACTAATCAGTGGGAATAATGCAGGAACTTTAACTGAAGGATGTGATGACACACAATAGCATTGCAAGTCCAACAAGCTTTGCAACCTGATTATCTTTCTTGCAAGGTAAACTATTCCTATGTTCATAGCGAAGGAAAGCTTAGGAAAAGCAAACATAGTTGGAAATTAGCTGAAAGCACTTCACAGATGAGTGAGGATGGTGAGAAGTAAAACAACAAAAAAGCAGTAAAGATGAGCGGAAGAACATCTCACTGGACACAGACCTCTCTTGGATTTTCTGGACCTGCGATTTATTGAGCGGCCATCTTTGAAACGATCACAGTTCACTTTACAGGAAAGCAGAAAAACATAATTAAGTGGGGAGAGTAAAGGAAGAGGAGAAAGGGGTCAGTAAACGACAGTTCAGTAGAGAATTAAGAGGGTAAGAGCAACTTAAGAGAAAAAGAAGCTGACGAGGTCCTGGATGACAGTAATGTCTCACCTAACTTCTCCACAGGAGTGTTGAGTGGCAGGAAACCCTGTTTAAGGAGCTGGTCCATCATTTCTTCATCCTCTGTTTGGATCTCAGAGACCATGTTGCAGGGGATCAGACCCACACGGTCTCGGATCTCTGCCCTGTAGAAGCCATCTGTGTCTTTATTTCCAAACACCTAAAGGAACAACAAAGTGTCAGAGGAAGACAACCAGCCAGAAACTACTGATTGTTCTGGAAGTCCCAAGTCCTAAACTTACTGAGTTTCGAGTCATAGTGCGCTCTTCACCAAATGTATTGCCATTTAACAGAATGCACAAAACAAAATGATCTTTGGTATTGTTTTTTCCAACTGGCACTCAGTAATGTAACCAGTGTTCCCACTCTCTTTAAGAAATAATTTTCAAGGAGTTTTCTTGACATTATTGGACAAGAAAAAAAATATTGACACATTTAGTTTTATTCCTCCTTTTTTAATGGTAGTGTTCGTGTATTTACATAAGCAATCTGAGTGAGGAACTACAATTCATTCATTCAACATAGATTATTTCCAGGATATTTGGTCACTTTAATCAATTTCCAGGTGTTTCCATGACTGGAAAACTAGTCTCTAAATGTCCAGCTTTTCCAGGACCCATGAGAAACCTGTTAGAGTGTTATAAAGATAATGCCTGTAAAAACTCTCAGATACAGATGCTAAGTAAAGCAACAAATGCCTAAGATGCCAACATGTAAAATTTTCCAGGTTTTGCAGGACGCTAGGGAACCCTGGTAACTGGTGTTAAAGTCCAAGTGCATTGCTTAGTGCGGTTTCAAGTCTTTTTAATTTTATCAAGTCGAGTCTAAAGTCATAAAATTAGTGCCACAACTCTGACTCGAGTCTGAGTCATGTGACCCGAGTCCAAACCTCTAACAAACACCTCAAAACCTGCAACTAGAATTTGGCAAAGATTACTACTATTTACATGTCATTCTAAAGGCATTAGCTAAGTTACTTGATTTTTTTCTACTTATTAGCTATGAAACATCTTTGAGTCTTAAGAATGAAGCCACCACCTTGATGATCTGGCCCTCCTTGAATGGCAGCTCCTCATCAGCAGCATCAGGGTTGGGCGACATGGACATGGGGTCATAGTCAAACAGAGCCACAAACACTCGGGTCATCTCCTCCGGCTCTGACTCCTCATAGTAATCCAGGGAACGCCGTCCCCGCCCGTGCCTGCGCCCGCCATAGCCGTCTGAAACATAGAGGAGGCCTCTGCTGCTACTACCAGCCTTATACAGCCACGCTGGCTGTAGAGGCAATGAGAGCAGAAGATGTCTCTTTGTTAGAGCTGACAGGGGAGAGGGCGATGAGATGCATGTGTGAAAAAAGAGCCAGAGGTCGAATTATACTTTTGGTTTTAATCTCTTCTACTTTTGATAACTCTTGCTGCGTTCACGCTCTAAAAGCAAAAGGATGCTTTGACGATAAAGGCCCGGTGCAATCGTAGCTCAGCGCGGTTCTTCGTTCACACATCTCTGCTTGCTGGCGTGACAGTCACCAAACATCAGAGGACACAGTACAACACAGCACAGACAGGACACAAGCAGTTTTTGGGGTGCAAGGGAAACTGAATGACTGTGCACACCAGGAGGACACGAGTAACACTGCACTATTGTTCATTGCTGTTTCACTGCCTTATCTCACAGAGGCTGATTAACATGCATGCTGTCCCGGAATTGGACATGAAGAGGGCAGCATTCCTAAATCAAATGCAGGTGTACCGTCATGCTTTTAAGGCCACATTCGGAAACAATGTGCAGCGAAGAAAGGGGGCAAAAGGAGGCACGTTCCCAGGGGAAATAACACATCAAATGCCCCAGCAGTTCCTGGCAACGCAGATATCAGGGACAGTGAGGGGGAAGGGATGAACCTGATATCAGTTCCCCATGCTTCCTCACATGGATCACCATGTTAAAATGTTTCAATGGCAGATTGTAAGGCTGAAGAATGGCTCAGAGAAACTAACTAAGAAACTGAAATGTGCTTTTTTAGTTGTTTTGGAAGATGTGAAATGTGCTTCAACGGTGCGAAACGTGTTTGATTTTGATGGCAGCTGAATTAATGAACCGAGTGATACCAACAAGGCAAGAATGCACCGACTCATCCAGTAATGTGTCTTTCCTTCTCACTGTATTGTAAACGGGTCATGCAAAAATTAACATAGTAAGGGGCTGCTGGCTCATGGAGGCGGGAGGAGAAGGAAAAGAGGAGAAGCTAAGAAAGAGGAGGGTGGGTGGGCTAAGTTGCGGTGGGGTGGGGGGGTAAGAGAGTGGCCTGGTTATGGAGGGTGAATAGGAAGAGTGAGTGAGTTGGGGTTTCTTGGGATTGAAGGTGTAGGAGTACATACAGGGAAGGGATTTTCATTCTCCAGCAACGGGGAAAAGTGGCCAGTCTTGTCTTCCCCCGTCAGCTTTATTCAGCTAAACTAAACTAAACAAAGCAGCTGACTGTCCAGCACAGAACAAAGACCACCATGATAATCACTGCATGTGTTCAAGAACGATTCTTTGCCTTTTCTGACCTTGTCAGGGTGAATTGTCATCTTGGAGAGAAGCTGCACCACATACCATATTGATCCTCTGAGGACATAGATCGCCATATCCTGCGCCGAGCTACACTGCCATAGTAAACATCCTCCTTGACGGGTGAGAGGTTCCCCTCACTCCCCTCACTGTTACTGTCCATGGTGATCTCTACAGAAGACACCAATCACAGCGTTACGGTCAGAGATCCCCCGCACACACACTCCGCTCTACCCAATGGCCCATTCACTCATGCTGAGACAGTAGGATGATGAGGTTGCCCTGAGGTGGTAGAGGAAGGGGTGTACAAGGCAACAGGTTTCACTCTGGAGTCACTGGGTGTAAAACAGCAATGCTTGCATTGTTGTGGGGGCGGAGGGGTCAAATTGGGTGGTCATGTAAACAGGTTAACCCACAGTAAACACAGGCATAGGGAGTGTGTCTGGGATAACTTTCCTGCAAAACTGCGTGTGAACATTTGGCGAATCCAGCTCGTGAGGATGGACAGCTACAGAAAATAAGGGTCTACGTGGCTGTTTAAGCTCTATGGGAGAGATGTACAGCTCGGCTCACATGGGTAAAGGGAAACACATGGTATAAATAGCACAAACATCAGTGGCCCTGCAGGTGGGGATGAGGCGTCTCCTCATGTGGTGACCTCACTAACCAATGGATGGGATGGGCCGTTGCTGAGGGGGGGTGCCGATGTGAACCAGCCTCCTCCCTGAGTGTTCCAGGCGATCAGCGCTTCCATGTGACGGAGAGTTCCCAATGATCTTTAGAGTAAAAAACAACAGATAAGTGGTTAGAATGACAACCCGGCCTGCATTTTGAAAATGAGAAACATTTAAAATCATTGAAAAGAATCCTACAATCCTGTTAAAACAACTAAAAAACCATAAGAGCAAATGATGTGGCTTCCATTTGTCCTTAGGGAGGCAAAATAATAGTAAAATAAATCCATAAAATAATAAAGAAACCATCAAAACAAATCAAATCAACCCCAACACAACAACATGGACTGGGGGGTTAGGAAGGGTCAGATGTTTAGCTAAAGACCATTTGTTTGGATTGTTTTGTTCTGTGCATGTCAGCTCCTTGATGAGAAAAGAAAGCAAATGACGCCACAAAAGACAGAAATGATGAGTGGAGGACAGAGAAATGGAGTGGATGAGAAGAAAAAGTGGAGGGCAAGTGTGATCGAGAATGGATAAAGATGTGGTTAGATGAGCAAAGCCATTATAGCTTCAGCCTGGGGCTTTGTATTACAACAATCAAAACATTTAATATATGAAAAATGATGATGAACAAGAGATTTTTTTTTTTTTTTTTTGCTGAAACGTAAAAGAGACAAGCAAGAGATGATGCGTATGGGTGAAGACTAAATTAATCACTGCAGGCTGCAAAAGTCTTGGTCTGGCCTTTTGTTTTGTAGGCGAAGCAATGAGAGGCAGGAGATGCTGAGATTAAAGCTCCAAGCACAAGGTGGAGCGATACGGCTGCAGCTCTAGAGGCCGAGAAATGGAGAGCAACAAATAAAGCCGGCAGCTAGCAGAGAGGAGGGGGGGAGGGGGGTGGGGCAGCCTGTCCCCATGCACTGCACAGAGAATTTCCTTTAAATGGAACCTTTCCCCTCAAAGACATGAGAAGTCAAAACTTAGTTAAATGGCCTTTAGGTAATAGAAAGCTTTAGTTTAAAATCCACCTGACGTTCTCAGTACAAGCAAAGAAATTCACACAAAATAAAACATAAAATCAGACCAAACGTGAACATGTGAGAACTTGTCACAATGAAGAACAGAATGCCAAATAAAGGAAGGGGGAGGGAGGGTAAAGAAAAACAGACAGCTTGCTGATGGAAAGTACAGCAGAAAGTCTGAATCACACACCAGCGGCTGGTCCCGGTTGAGCCTGGACAAAGACTGGGCCCTAGCCTCCCTGTGGGGGCTGTAATAGGCCCTGTCCAGCTCGTTCAGCCTGCCCTCGCTCAGGGCCCCTTCCCTGGAGTAGTTTCGCTGCCCGGCCTCCCGACCAGGCCCAAAGTGGTCCCTGTTCCTAAAGTCACCCGTGTGTACCAACTTGGATGCAGTGACTGGGACATCGGAGAACTCCTCCTCCACGCTGCACTGGCGGGTCAGAGTTCTCTTACGGCCCATGGCCAGCGCCCGCCTTTCTACGGGGCCTTCACAGTGGATGATGTGCACGGGCCCTCGCATGGGGCTCCCATGTGCATAGTACCCTCGATAACCCCGGCCTAGAGAGCCTTCTTCCTCGCTGCCGCAGTCTAACCCGCTGTCGGGACTCTTGGTGTTCTGCCGGTTGGGTCTTCCCAAGCTGCGGTCATCGGGGTTGAAGCAGTAGCGGCTGTCGGTGAAGCGAGGGGAGGAGCGCTGGCGCTGCAGGTGGCGGGAGTTCTTGCCGGGGGTGAGATGGTTGTGCATGTGGTTGTCCTGGGGGTACATCCTCCGCTGAGTGTGCGGCGTTCCCGGCCGTCCGCCGTCTTCGAAGCACAGGCGCTGGCCCATGCCGTCCACGCCGTCCAACTCTTCCTCGGCCACCTCAGGGATGCTGTGGAGACGTTTGCTGCGAAGCGACTTCTGCTTCACCACCTCCCTCTGGAGGTCCCAGCAGTCCCTTTCCTCAGCCAAGTCCTGACGCTTGTAATAGGCCTTCAGTTGCGAGCGTGGCCAAAAGTTCCACAATTTTCACAGTTCAGTTAGTGAGTTCAATTCAAAAGGTTCAGTTTAGATTTTTGTGAGGGGGGGGGTTGAAAGTTTTTTTCGAAGGTTTTAGAACAGGCAGGAAACAACACAGTATGTGAATAGAACAAATGGGGGGGAAAGACAAAATAAAGACAGAATTAGTTATTTGTGGCAATGTAGTAAGACATGCAGTCTCATTCCGTGAGAAGAAAAATGGCATGCTCTGAACAGGAATCTGTGAAGGCTCAAATATGGAGAGATAAACTGAGCGTGGGTGCGGAGGTTAAATGCGGAAGAGGGAATTTCGCTTGTGAGAAATTAGAAATATCCAAACAAAAAACAAAAAGTAAGTGACAGGCTCAGTTAGTGCCACGGGTGAGGGATACATGAAAACATCAATGTGGACGAAATGAATAAATAAATCTTAACAACATGAAGCTGAGTGAGTAGAAGGACACACTGTATAGGACACTTCTTCAGCAACAACGTCAGATGTAGTGAAACAAACACAACTTAGCAGACAAAAGCTTGAACTATTCTCTTAACAATATCTAATTCAAATATTTACATTGTTACTATACATATTTTAAAATCATTTATTTTTACAGAAATAGAAACGTGGTGGATAATGTGCAACAGTGATTTACAAATAGATGGCAATGGCGAAAAGGAGATGCAGCATTGGTGTATTTAAAGAGTAAATGCACCAATTAATACCCCTCGTTAACACCACTGTACAGATAACTGGACAACAACAGGCAAAAGCTAACCAAATGGTCCACTACAATACACTCTCACTCTCATTACATGATGGCAGATTGGCTTTACATCCACACGTCCTCACTGACAGACCAAATGAAGACAGGATCGTGTACCGACAATGTTCCACATCAACCATAGACAAATTAAACATCTGGACATGACAGACATAAACAAAAGTGAATATTTCCATTTAAGTACTCACTTAAATGAGATTCCCATATGCACTTCATATGCCATGAACCCTTTGATACAGTACAGCGTATTAAAATTTGTGCTTTACTTCATAAGTCACATTCTAACATTTGACTGTAACACTTGTAACACTCGTTCGGTGCAGCAGTAAGAGCATCAAAATGCAAATGCAACCCATGAGAAACACACTGTGCTTTTAGTTCACAGCCTTCCCCGCTCGCATGCTGTATAGTTACATAGACACAGCCATTCCCGTGAGCTCAGGCCTTGAATGGATAAAGCGGTGCTGAAAGGGTGGGCGGGGTGGAGGAGCAGGCTGGGGTGGGGAGGCTGATTCGCAAGGCGGGGGGGAGCTCAGCCAGGCAAAGCCACGATGGGCCTGGTTGTAGAGCCTGTGAGAGAGCAGGTACCTCTGCAGGTGGCAAGACCCTCCCTCCCTCCCCTCCTCCTTCCGCACCTTCCTCTGCCCCCCCCTCACTGGCCACTGCAGACTGAAGGTGTGTAGTATGTACCTTAAGAGTGTTGTGAGAGTTGATGCTGCGCCTGCGGCCCTCCTCCAGTTGCATCTCAGAGTAAAGGTCTTCCTCGTCCTCCTCCATTATGTCGGACAGGTCCGAACCCCGGCTGCTCTCTGTGTGGTACTCCTC